ACGGGCGCGGTATCCCCATCAGTCCAGGCAGCGCCCCTGAGGTCATTTGCGACTACGCTCGAGTCGATCGCGACATCGGTGGGTCGCTTTTGGCAATTGGAGAAGGTGCCGGAGGACGCTTCTTGTTCGGACGAGAATCGACGCTGCAAGGAAATCTTCGCCAAGACCACGTATCGTGACCCCTCGGGTCGTTTCGTGGTCTCGTACCCGTTCGTGTCGGATCCTCCTACATTCGTCGGCTCGCGCTCCATTGCGGTTAGTCGTCTCCGCGCACTAGAACGTCGATTTAAATCTGATCCGGAGTTCAGAGCTGGTTACAATAGTTTCATGCGGGACTATCTCAATAGCGGACACATGGAGGTAATTCGCAATCCATTCCCGTCGGATGGCCACATTTATTATCTACCGCACCACGGTGTGTATAAACTCGATAGCACTACCACTAAGTTGCGGGTAGTGTTCAACGCGTCCTCGCGAGGCCCGGACGGTCTGTCGATCAACGACACCCTGCTCAGCGGTCCGAAGCTGCAGCAGGACCTGCTCGCCATCCTGCTTCGGTTCCGCGCCGAAGCGATCGCTCTAACCGCGGACGTGAAGCAGATGTTTCGCCAGATTTGGATAAGCCCGGAGCAATGCAACTACCAACGTATCGTCTGGCGCTTCTCGGAGTCGGACCCCATCCTCGACTATCTCCTCAAAACAGTTACATTCGGCTTTAGCGCCTCCCCGTTCTTGGCGATCTATTGTTTGCTCCAGTTAGCTCATCAATACCGCGAGAAATATCCTCTAGCGTTCGCAGCCCTACTCGAGGCGCTGTATGTGGATGACGTCGTGACAAGCGTTCGGACGGTGGAACAGGCTCGCGCACTCCGCGACCAATTGCTATCGCTTCTCCGAAGCGCCGGCTTCGAGCTTCGAAAGTGGTCGAGCAGCCATCCTGCCGCGCTGGAGGGCCTCGACCCGCAGTTATGTAGCCAATCGATGTTAGATTTTGAGTCAAGCGAGGATCAATCTCAGAAGATATTGGGCCTTCGGTGGCACTCACGATCTGACAGTTTCGGGTTTCAAGTCAACGCGTTGGATCGTGAGTGCACCAAACGCACTATACTGTCGGAAGTAGCGCGCATATTCGACCCCCTGGGTTTTCTGGCCCCACTCACCTTTACCGCGAAGTGCTTAATTCAGCGTCTGTGGACCCTCAAGTTAGATTGGGATGATGAGCCTCCGATGGACATTCGTCGCAGTTGGAGTCGTTTCCAGACGGAGCTCGGCGTGTTATCTTCCCTTCGCGTTCCTCGCGCGTTTAACTCGTGCCATGTAGATCGCTGCGAACTCCACGGGTTCTGCAATGCCAGCGAGCTGGGGTACGGAGCCGTGATTTATCTGCGAATCGTTACGCGCGACGGCGTCGGGGTCCGATTACTGTGCGCCAAGTCTAAGGTCGCCCCGCTTCGCCCCCTCACCATTCCCCGTCTGGAGCTCTGCGCGGCTCTGCTCTTGTCTAAATTAATCGCGTACGTCCGGCGCACCCTCCGCGGACACCTTGACATTGACGACGAGTATGCTTGGACGGATTCCGAGGTCGCCCGGGCCTGGATCCGCTCAGCACCACAACGGTGGAAGACCTTCGTTAGAAATCGCGTTGCCCTCATTCAGGACAACGTGCCAGTATCAGCTTGGGGTCACGTCGACACGGAGTCCAATCCGGCGGATCACTGCTCCCGCGGGCTTTATCCTCGCGATCTGGTGGCCAGTTCGATGTGGTGGGCGGGCCCTGAGTGGCTTGTTCGCTTCGAACCCCGAGTTGAGCCTTCCCACGGTTCGGAAACCCCTCCGAT